ATCACCAGCAGCCAACATGGTTTCAGAGACGGGAAATCCTGTGTCACAAACCTATTGGAGTTCAATGACATGGTGACAGCAGTAAGACAAGAGAGAGAGGGGTGGGTGGATTGCATTTTCTTGGACTGCAAGAAGGCGTTTGACACAGTACCACACAAGAGATTAGTGCAAAAACTGGAGGACCAAGCAGGGATAACAGGGAAGGCACTGCAATGGATCAGGGAATACTTGTCAGGAAGACAGCAGCGAGTAATGGTACGTGGCGAGGTGTCAGAGTGGGCACCTGTGACCAGCGGGGTCCCACAGGGGTCAGTCCTAGGACCAGTGCTGTTTCTGGTATTTGTGAACGACATGACGGAAGGAATAAGCTCCGAGGTGTCCCTGTTTGCAGATGACGTGAAGTTGATGAGAAGAATTCATTCGATCGAAGACCAGGCAGAAATACAAAGGGATCTGGACAGGCTGCAGACCTGGTCCAGCAATTGGCTCCTGCAGTTCAATCCCACCAAGTGCAAAGTCATGAGGATTGGGGAAGGGCAAAGAAGACCGCAGACGGAGTACAGTCTAGGGGGGCCAGAGACTACAAACATCACTCAAGGAAAAAGATCTTGGGGTGAGTATAACACCAGGCACATCTCCTGAAGCGCACATCAACCAAATAACTGCTGCAGCATATGGGCGCCTGGCAAACCTCAGAACAGCATTCCGACATCTTAATAAGGAATCGTTCAGGACCCTGTACACCGTGTACGTTAGGCCCATATTGGAGTATGCGGCACCAGTTTGGAACCCACACCTAGCCAACCATGTAAAGAAACTAGAGAAAGTGCAAAGGTTTGCAACAAGACTAGTCCCAGAGTTAAGAGGAATGTCCTATGAGGAGAGGTTAAGGGAAATCAACCTGACGACACTGGAGGACAGGAGAGATTGGGGGGGACATGATAACGACTTACAAAATACTGAGAGGAATTGACAAGGTGGACAAAGACAGGATGTTCCAGAGACTGGACACAGCAACACGGGGACACAGTTAGAAGCTGAAGACACAGATGAATCACAGGGATGTTAGGAAGTATTTCTTCAGCCACAGAGTAGTCAGGAAGTGGAATAGTTTGGGAAGCGATGTAGTGGAGGCAGGATCCATACATAGCTTTAAGCAGAGGTACGATAAAGCTCATGGTTCAGTGAGAGTGACCTAGTGGCGACCAGTGAAGAGGCGGGGCCAGGAGCTTGGACTCGACCCCTGCAACCTCAACTAGGTGAGTACACACACACACACACACACACACGGACGAAGACCAGGCGGAATTATAAAGACATCTGGACAGGCTGCAGGCCTGGTCTAGAAACTGGCTCTTGGAGTTCAACCCCACCAAGTGCAAAGTCATGAAGATTGGGAAAGGGCAAAAAAGAGCCCAGACTACAAACTCACTCAAGGAAAATGATCTTGGGGTGAACATAACACCGAGCACATCTGAGACGCACATCAACCAAATAACTGCTGCAGCATACGGGCGCCTAGCAAACCTCAGAATAGCATTCCGGCATCTCAATGAGGAATCGTTCAGGACCCTGTACACCGTGTACGTTAGGCCCATATTAGAGTATGCAGCACCAGTTCGGCGCCCACACCTAGCCAACTACGTAAGGAATTTAGAAAAGTCCAAACGTTTGTAACAAGACTAGTCCCGGAGCTAAGGGGAATGTCCGACGAGGAGAGGTTAAAGGAAAACAACCTGACGACACTGGAGGACAGGAGAGATAGGGGGGTTATGATAACGACATATAAAAGACTGAGAGGAATCGACAAGGTGGACAGAGACAGGATGTGCAAGAGATGGGACACAGCAACAAGGGGACACAATTGGAAGTTGAAAACTCCTATGAATCATAGGAATGTTAGGAAGTATTTCTTCAGTCACAGAGTTGTCAGGAAATTGAATAGATTGGGAAGTGATGTAGTGGAGGCAGGACCCATACACAGCTTTAAGAAGAGGTATGATGAAGCTCATGGAGCAGGAAGAGGGACCTAGTAGCGACCAGTGAAGAGGAGGGGCCAGGAGCTGTGAATCGACCCCTGCAACCACAACCAGGTGAGCACACACATACACCAAACATACCGACAGGGAAGATGTAAGAAAGAAAATGAAAACTGCAAATGAAGCAACGTTACTGCAGCCAGAAGCAGAGAGCTGATGAGAAATTTCTTTCTATTTTTCCTAATATACTCACTGGGAGGGACGATGTCTGTGGGAAATAATAATAATAAAAAAAAAAGATTTATAATATATTTTGTTCGCTGTGAATACTGTTGAAAACAATGGCCATTCTAGTGGCCATTTTTGTGTTGTCTGGAACTTTTGAAGAACTAATGTGAGTTTTAGTTTTGCTATTCATTAACGTGAGATGTAAGAGGCTTAATGAAACAGTGTTCATCACCCTGCTCCTCTCTCTCTGTTTTTCTCTCTTTCCACCTTCATTATCTCCCTCCTTTCTCTTTCTCCCTCGGTCTCACACACACACATAATTTATTACAATCAGGGGAAGCGCTAAATCTGTACTCCATTCAGCGCCTGTGTAATGAGAGGCAGTCAGGTTTGATTCAAGGAAGGGAGAGAATAAGTAAAGTTCCCTGGATGAAAAACTCCTCCCTTGAGGGGACTAGACTGAGATAAAGTACCCGGCTGACCGTGTTTGATGGCATCTTCCCACTGACGCAGTGGCTAACCTGCCATTAATTTAAATTATTAAGTGTTCTCCTCATGCGCTTAAAACTACGTTCCTTTCTGGCTGCTCTATGGTAGCTGATTATTGTCTTCAGAGGGGAGCGCTAAACCCAGGTTAGATCCAAGAAAGGGAAGGGTAGGTTCAGTTTCTTGGATGAAGAGACCAGGAACCTCCCTCAGGAGGGTCGTGGTAATTGAGCTTGGCTGAGTTAAGTGTACTTAAGCTGAACCAGTAACTGAATGGCGGTTCATACGATATTCTGTGAACTGTTCTGACATACACATATTGTTTTATATGATGGTAGGATTGCTGGTGTCTTTTCTGTCTCATAAATACGCTGGATAACATTATTATTATTATAATCAAGGGGGAAGCGCTAAACCCAGAGGATTATACAGCGCCTGGGGGGGGATGTGGAAGGCATTCAGGCTTAATTTGGGAAACTGGAGCACAGATCCAATTCCCTAAATCAAGAGCCCCTCACCAACATCAAGGAACCTTCCTTGAGGGGACGCTGAATAACAGGTATATCTTGCTACGTCTACTCACACTTAGGTCACACTATCCATGCATGTACACGCATATGAACACCCATCTGTTTTATTTTTTCTAATTTTTTAATAATTGCTGTTCTTTATTTCTTATCTCCATGGGGAAGTGGAACAGAATTCTTCTTCCGTAAGCCATGAGTGTCATAATAGGCGACTAAAATGCCGAGAGCAAGGGACTAGTAAACCCCCAAGGGGCTAATAACTCCCCCAAGGGGCTAGTAATCCCCCAAGGGGCTAGTAATCCCCCAAGGGGCTAGTAATCCCCTAAGGGGCTAGTAACCCCCCCAAGATACTAGTAGCCTCCCTCCGGGATCCAAAAACCGGGAGGGTAGCCCTAGTGTACTGAATCAGAAGACCCTCGGCAGCAGCTGGACGCCCTTCCTTTTCCTGGAAGGAATCACTGGCGAAACAAAGGTCACAACCAAGAATAAAAAGGCACAATACCATCACTGGAACAATACACAAATATCTCACACTTAGGAGACTGAAACTTGTGACGACGTTTCGTTCATTAGCAAGTTAATAGTCCAAGTCAGACCGAAGCGTCGACGTAAGTTTCAATCAAGAGATTGAAACTTACGTCGACGCTTCTTAAGTGTGGGATATTTGTGTAAGATCATACAGAGTGCACTTTTACCACACAACTTTAGCTAGAAATAAGTGGAATAGAACCTGTTATTCTGTGAAAAATTAGAAGTAGGCCCCTATGCAATATAAGTAGTTTAAAAAACATAATAATGATAAAGACAATAGAAATACTGCTATAGTAACCTGTATAGTAACTTGCTATAGTAACTTAAACAGTCAGGTCAAACACCAGCTCAGTAACTAGACACCATTCCGACTAGGTGTCTTGTAGCTCTGTTGGCAACGCAATCAGCTCACACATCGGGTGTCCGTGGTTCGATCCTGGGTGGGGGTGGAAACATTGGGCGTGTTACCTTAGGAGACCTGCTGTCCCTGCTCACCTAGCAGTAAGTACCTGGGTGTTAGCCGACTGGTGTGGGTCGCATCCTGGTGACAAAATTAACCTAAGTTGCCCGAAATGCTCTGCATTACCAGGGGCTTTCTATACAGAATGTCACTACTGTCGACGATTACACAAGTGAACCAGGATGTGGACAAGAGTCTTCCCACACCTGTTTTTTGACCAGGTGGGTGTGGGAGTGTCAGTCCCACACACCCACCTCTTGACAAGACGAGTGTGATGGAGAAGACTTAAGAAGCTCTCGGAAGAACTATTCAAGAACAAATAAAATTCTTAACGTTTTTACATATAAAATTTTTTACTTGGGAGAAACGTAATTACCGTTCATCGGGCCAATGCTGAGACATTCAGCTAGCATGCAATAAATGCTGGCAGAATGATGAGAACTCTTTGAATTACTTTAATAGTTTTTCTGTCTTATTTACCTTTGAATTCGTTATACATCTTACTTACTATTTTCACCTATATTCACGAACTCTCCCCTCAGTGTCTGATATATGTATGCTGCATACAAAAAATGTAACACATAACCTGTTTCACTATTTTTCTGACACCTACACCGATCAACTGACATTTATATGCTGATCCCATTACTAATTTAATCACTACACTCTTCCTCCACTGTTACGTTGACATTTACATGTTCACCCCATCACTAAACTGACCTTCGTACTATTATCTATCCTAATATTATAACCCTGACCCTTGTTGTCTTTGTTTTGACAGTATCCAAGGTGAACTGTCAGTGCACGAGGACAAGAACCGTGTACCGTCCGTCAAGGGAGCTACCGAGCGCTTCGTCTCCTCACCTGAAGAAGTCTTTGAGGTGATCGAACTGGGCAAGTCCAACAGACATGTAGCTGTTACAAGTAAGTCCAACAGACACGTAGCCGTTATAAGCCCAAGAGACTTACAACGGATATATAATATGTATGTCGTGCCGAATATGTAAAACTGGTCAGTTAGCAAGAACTCATTTAAAATTAAGTCCTTTCTAAAATTTTCTCTTATACATTTAAAGATATATTTTTTCATTAATGTTAATGTAATAATTTATAATTTTGCACCAAAAGAATCTTAGAAAACTTACCTAACCTTATTATAACAAGAGCATTTTATTTTAGCCTAACCCAGCTAAATATATTTTAGATTTGTTTACAATAATCTAATACTAAACAAACACAGTGAAATATATATTTTTTGTTATGTTCAGAATGATTTTGGCGAAATTATTGCATACACAAATTTTCACTTGTCCTATATGGCAAGATGAGCGTTGCTATTTAAGCCAAGATCGCAAGTTCTGCCTATTCGGCACGACATATATATATATATATATATATATATATATATATATATATATATATATATATATATAATATATATATATATACAAAAATTCAGACTTATGTATATTTTGACGTAAGTTGCTCTTATCAATATCCTTCTGTATTAAATTTGACATTTCGTATCAACAACAGTGTACAGTAAATGGTTTCGAGTAATACAATTAATTTAAAATGCATAACTTAATATACATCCATATCTGTATTCCATTTCAAAACATTTACACTATAAAAGTTCTTTGTTTATTCAATCATTAAAGTGAAATTGAGCCTCGATCAATTTATAGGTGAACGAGTCAAAGTATACCTCGAATATATGTTCAATAAATCACTTTGTATATACCCTGACTGCTGGTGTATAGATGACCAACAGTCTACAAAGAAACAAGGACTGGTACCATAGGACGTGGTAAGGAGGGGAGAAAGAAGGTTGCTGAAGGAGAGAAAGCTGAACAATGTGTCGGGTAGTTAATAGTAGGAGAAGAAAAGACAAGTGGCAATTTAATCTATGATGCGTTAAGGTAAACAAAGGAGAGTAACAAGTGAGACATTGTACATATAACAGGTTCTGACGTTCTTCCATTTGTAGAATAGCAAAACATGTAAACACACACACACACACACACACACACACACACACACACACACACACACACACACACACACACACACACACACACACATACACATACGCCGATGATCTCATATATGTTATTCACTGGAAACACGGACATGTGCACATAACATGTGTCGACGCTCCTACACATGTATAATGACAAAATATACATACATATGAACACAGCCGAACTCGTATATGCTGGATACTGTGAACACAGATTTTTATTGCCATTCCATATATATACTCTCGGGAGTATTCATGGGATGACTCGGTTACGAAGGTTTAAGAATGGAAATGGCTACAGGAGAGGCTTGCTTGTTGTTAGCTGTCAGGTTCTCTGTGTGAAAGGAGGAGTACTGAGTGTCAGTCGCTGGTCTGGTGTTCAAAATGTGGCACGTCATTGTTGGTGTAAATGTCTTTATTTTCGTCGTAGAAGAGAAGAGATGTTACCCAATTATCTGGGTCTTCAGGTAAACTGCTGAAAATCATTGTTCTAGGTAAGTCGTGTTTGTGGATTTAAAGGTTAACTCGTTGTTGGAGAGTCATCCTCTGAGTTTTGTAAAGAGGAGCTTGGATTATATAGTCAACGATGTTAACTGTGAATAGTGGATGTTCCCCATCAGATGTGTACAGGCCCTCCATCTTCCAAGGTTGTATTTTCTTAAGTTTATCCTGACGAATAATAATTTCATCAATGTCACAGAGAAACTTGACCCTTTCTAGTTTGAATATATTAGTTTTACTTGCGAGAGATAACGGCATTGACGGATATTTGAGGAGAGGACGTATTAACATCTTATGCAGGTGTTTCTAAACATCAGGCGGAGCTTGGTGAGACAGTTACAGCTGGTGAATATATACCTTGCCTAAGCATGCTTTCTCTGTAATAAATTTAGTTCACGATAAAAGTCTGTCAGTTTTATAGCCCAGTAGTCTTTAAGAGTTACTGATAACAATAGGTGTATTCCGTACCACAATTCCCTGTTATCTTCGATGGTGGTTGCTAAAACATAATTTTTTTACTATAGTCTGTTGCATTAGTTCATACGGTTGCGGAGGTGGAGGAAACGGCATTAATGACACAATCATCAAATTATGATCGTGTCTGGGTAAACTGGCTGAGGAAGGTCGATATTGAAGAGAACTGGGCTGAGTCAGGAGCCTTATGGTACTCCTGCCGCTTGTGTGAACTTATCCGTTGATTTAGAGATGAACAATGGAATGACTTGCCTATCAGATAGAAAGTTACACATTACTAGTATCACATACAGCCGTAATAACCCTGTATTTTAGGGTACTAAAGTATTCTTGACAGGTGGTGTAAGGATAAAATGCAGCTTAATGACCCTCGTGCAGTCGAAAGGTTTTTAATCCGAACAGTCAACTGACTAATTACTATGTACACAAATGGCGATTTTTGTCTTTTCTTGACCAGATATGAATGAGCACAGCTCCCGCTCGCACAGTGTATTCCTCATCCAGGTGAAGCAGGAGAACATTGAAAACCAGAAGAAACTCCTCGGTAAACTCTACCTCGTGGATCTGGCTGGCTCGGAGAAGGTAAGAGCAATTTACTCCCTTCAAGGGAGAGGCCTGGGTTTGCTTTCTTGCTGTTTTCTTGAGCCAGATAACCAGTTTATCTCCCATTCCTCAGACACTGTGTGGCACCTTCAATAAAATAATAATAATCTTATATATTTATAAAAGTTTGTGGGTTTGTTTGCTTTTGAGTTTCCTATAAATCACTCCTTATAAAAGTCAGTGCAACCAAGACTTGTGTCCAGCAACAGGTATTAGCCTACACGGCTGTATCAGCAGACAAACCTGACCCAGGGCCTGGCTGGGCGAGTACACAATCTCGAAGTCTGTCAGAGGTGTATCAGAGGCATGACATTTCAAATTTTTAAATGAGGGGGCGGCGCCCCTTGTTCAGGGCATTTTTTAGTTGCACTATGTCCAGTGACACATTGTATTTAAGCATTTTTATACTGATTTCAAAATCTTATACTGCGTCCTAAAAAATATTGTTGGGGAAGCGCCTCTTGGGATATTTTTTTGAGTATAATTAATTTAAATTCAGAAATTCAGTCCAATTGAAATTAATCATATTTTTTCTTAGAACCTAAAATAACAATACATACACAACTTCCTGATAAGGTGAGTTCAGGGACGAGAGTCCCCCATTCCTGCCTCTTGACAAGGTGGGTATGAGGCACGAGTCTCCCATACCTGCCTTCTAACACTGTGTTTAAGGTCATGAGACCCTCATACCTGCCTCCTGACACTCTATGAGCACGGATTTGAGTCACCATAGGTTCTGGGTGCAGGGGCGTGAGTCCCCTACACCCAGCTCCTAACAAGGTGAGTGTTAAAACTCCTTATGCTATATACAGTTTATTACAACAATGTAGTATCTTGCCTAACAGGGGACATGGGGACACATGAGTCACCCATACCCACCTTCTGACAAGGCAGGTGTGTAAGTCCCCTACACCCGCCTCTAAACAAGACAAGTGCAGTGAGGTGGGACTCCAACCAACGCCTCTTGACAGGTGCAGTGGAGAGAGTCCCCCACACCTGCCTCCTGACAAGGCAGGTGAGGAGAAGATAGTATGAACTACTATAGAAATTTTTTTTTAATTTTTTTATGTTTATAGCTATTCTTTCTGAATACTAAATATACCCGGGCAACGTGGAATTATTCTTAGTAAAATAATATAATAATAATAATAATAATAATAATATTATTATTATTATTATTATTATTATTATTATTATTATTATTATTATTATTGTGTGGTTGTAAGTGATACACGGAAAAATTACCACATTTTTTTAATCTTCACATATTTTAATATTAGATTACATATATTTCTGCTGAGCGACTTATTTACAAGTGTCGATTGTTTATCTCAGGTGAGCAAGACTGGTGCGGAAGGCGCAGTTTTGGATGAAGCAAAAAACATTAACAAATCGCTCTCAGCTCTCGGTAATGTCATCGCTGCCTTGGCAGATGGAAAGGTTAGAAAACTGTCGTTTGTGTTTGTCTCCTTTCATTTCGTGACCGATTTTATGTTTTTCAGGAGTAATGTTATGTGGTATTTCGGGCAGAAATATTGGCCAGAAACTGCACTTAAAATTGATTATTTATTATACTTGAAAAATTTGGATATATTTATTAAAAGAATATAATTTGGTGAACTGGTGTATACTTCACAATGAATCTTAATTCAGCTTCAGTCCAAACTTGTTTTGATTATATTTAATTATAGAAATTGCAGAAAAGAATAAAGGGCTCAATATCGTGACTGGAACAATACATAATAACCCACACATAAGAGACTAAATTTTATGACGACTTTTCTGTCTGACTTGGACCATTAAACAGTCACACAGTGAAGTGAAGGGAGCCAGAATATATATGAGAGACGGAGCGGGAACTGGGTGCTCCATACTCCTCCCCCCCCCCCTCGTCGTATATATTTAGCTCTCTTCCCTTCGCCATTCTGTATGGGTTCCATTATCCAGCAAATACATTTTTGTTGTTGTGTTAGAAATTAAATGTTATCTGCCCAACTAGTAGTATGTAAACTCAAGTGACACTGGTGGTTTAGACGCTGTCAGCCAGGAATGAAGGTTGTTAGCCTGTGTGGATATCCATGTATATTCCTGCAGAAGCAGTCTGACGTTCATTGAGGGATATATGATCCATCTGGGTGGCTAAGAGGCAAGATGGATTGAGGTATTCTCTCTGTTAGGCAGTGAGCTCTTGTAAAATTCCCGTGGCTTATTTCGTAAACTTAATTACGTCTAAAATAACATCAACTGGAATTTGCATCTTGTACTCAGTAAACAGAGCAGCAAGATGGAGAGCTCCTGCGATTAAGAGTCGGTATGTCAAGTGTGTAAGTCGCAAAAATGGGAACTGTTGTAAGAAAATCGCCCGAGTGATGCACACTCACAGCAAAGTGGTGGGAATACTAACAGTACCTACCAGACTGATGCCACTATTATCCAGTAGATGGGGTCGTTCAGGCCTGCTGAATTACCTTAATGTTCTGGAACATTTTTCTTCACTAGGTAAATGAATCCTGTGAAGGAAATCTGAGGAGCCATGTGTTTCAGTCCCAACCAATCTGACTGGAAGTGTCTTTAATGCTCTGATCTGTGAGAAAATAGAACTTTTCTAGCATGACTGAAGAAATGCCGTACTTAGTTTTATATTGGGGAATGATGCAGAGCGTCTCTAAAATTGGTTTGCCTTAGAGAGAAATAAGTCTATGGAAGATACAGGAGATATCATGTCCAGAGATTTTTTTTTATTTTGGTTTCCACCCTTTGGTCAAACAGCAACTTGTAATGATGCTGGAGAGTTTATCACCTTACGTAGAAGACTCAGCTGCTTCACCCGTGGAAATAGAAGCATGCAGTAAGGGGTGTATGTCAAACAAATGTAGAACAGCAGATTATTGACTCAGATCTGAGCGAGCCGGAAACGGGGCACGGAACAATGTAGGCCTAGCTTTGTAAACTCTAGGAGGGGACGAGCTGAAGGCAGAGATGCGGCAACAGACACTGGACAACATAATCACAAGCAGAAAGAGATGGCTTCCACAGAAATAAAGAGAAGTGGGAAAATCATAGAGACTCTTGCAGGAGCCTAATCCCCCCTCCCCTCTCTCGTCCCTCAAAAGTTACTGAAAAATCATTTTACCTCACGGGAACAAAAATCACTTACTAATATACGAAAAGCAGGCCACTCACACTATAGGCAGAAGGCCCTTTAAAAACATTGGTGGATGAACAAAATATATTTACGTTACTTTAGTAAAACACAGTATACCATAAATCAAGACAGGTGACCACTGCAAAAGAAACAAATTTAAAATAATGTACAAAGTATACCAACAGAGACACTGCTACTTACTACGGTTAGTGAGCTTGTATATCACCTACCATGTAGGAGAGTCGTGTGAAGAGAGGCTGGAAGGCGGTGATGAAGCCAGCATTTCCTTTTCTGTAAACAAACTTACACGCATTTACAGTGAACTTTTTACTTATAATTTACAAAGATTAACTAACCACCAACCTCGCAGTAGAAATGTGTATTACCAGCTACGTGATAAGCTGCAAAAAAGAGTCAAACAAAGTTAAAACCAAATCTCATATTTAAGCTTGAAAATAATCCAACTGAATATGAATGACTAATTAATAACATTCACAAAGTGGATTTACCTGATCCCCCGACAAGCGAGTTGAAGAAAGATTTTATTCAGATAACCAAGGCAAAGATAAAGCAACTCTTATTAGATACTGTAATGAAAGCTACCTAACCTGGCTAGATATCACCCTGGGTTAGATAAGACCGTACACTAAAATTAAGCTATCATCTCTGTAATATTTTGAAGAGTTCTTTTCAAACTCCGTGCCAATATTAAAATATAATAAAACGTGACATGGAGGACACTCACTTTTGTTTCAGTGACAAGAGTAATTGTAAAAGCTGTGAAAAATCCAATAAATAAAAGGGGATGAAACACTTGCACTTCAATAACCCGATGTCAAACAGTTCAGTTTCCCAAGAAAAACGTGGAATATCAGATTTATTAAGCCTCTTCAATACTAAACTGATACAAGAAACAGACTGATTGTCAGAATGCATTTATTTGAATTTCACAAAATTTTTGACAGAATTTTGTCTAAAAGCTATAATATACTTGAAGCATTAAGGATAACTAATATGAGAGAATTTACCCTTAAAAGAAAAATGTCAGGAGTTAATAGGTCAGTGTGAATTCTAAACTGTGAGAATGTGTTTGAAGATGAAATTTCTGGAGGAATACAAAAATATTTAAATTCTGTAGTGGACGATGCAACATTCGTATTACATATTAAATTGAAATTGTTGTAAATCTGTTCAAAGAAACCTTAAAAAAAAGAGTAAAAATATGGGATAACAGCAGAATGATGGAAATTATTGGAACACAGTAAGCGAGAACATGCTAAATGATGGCAAGAATACTGTGTATGATGCGACAGTAACCAACGAGGCGCTACTTGACGTGTGATACTGTAACCAAGAGTACACTGTTAGTTACCATTCTGTTCTAGGCACATGTCGATTAAACATTAGGCCTGTTGTATATGATGTTGTGTGTGGTGTGTTGATACGTTCAAAGAACACCTGTAAACCTGGATACATAAGCAGGAAACACGTATACCTGGATTATGGATACAGTAAGCAATAACATCTGATACCATAGTGATACGTAGCAAGAAACACTTATAACGGTATCAGTAACAAGAACACACTTTATTACGTGCGATACAGTAACAAGAACACTGTATACCATTGATAGTTTAGTACAGTAAAAAACATACTGTTACATGCATGTTGTGTGTAGAAGTGTAGATAGTGTGATACAGTAAGCAAGAACACACTGTATACCGTGATAGTGTGATACAGTAAGCAAGAACACACTGTATACCTTGATAGTTGATACAGTAAGCAATAACACACTGTATACCGTGATAGTTTGATACAGTAAACAAGAACACACTGTATACCATGATAGTGTGATACAGTAAGCAAGAATACACTATATACCGTGATAATGCGATAAAATAATGAAAATAACAGACAGGGATCTATGACTAATTATAGACAAAAGATATTATCATGGGAATATAACACAACTGCAGATATGGATAGTGAAATATTTTAGAAACAGGTTCACATAACTGGCTAAACCTTATCTTTATAAGCAGTGGTATGATGGTGTCTGCGGCTAAAATATGTAAATAAAATAAATGTAAACAAAAAAAAATATGTAAATAAAATCAATGTAAAAAAAACTCGCTACATAATGCTCCTTAGGATAAAAATTTATGAGTTACGAAGATTAAAAACATTGAAGAAAGGCCAAGGAGACAACATAACAATTGCACACGAAGTCATAAATGAATACGAGAATAAGAAAAAGATTTGTTAGCACCATGAACAGGGAGAACAAGAGGACACAAGTGTAAGCTGAGACACGAGATCCCAAGATGTTACTACACAAATATTTCTTGATAATTAGAGTTGTAGTCTGTTTGGCTGAAATCCAAGTGAGGTGCGTATGCTTCAACACCAGGGAACTTAAAATAATATATGACGAACTATTAACTGAAGAGGGCAAACCATAAGCATAGTTCTGCTTATGTATTACGTGGTTATTAACAGTTAACCACATACGAATTAAGTTCTAGGAGGAAAATGTATGAAACTCACTGCCCTATTCCATCCCACTCATTTTCTTTATCAGTAAATTTGCAACTATATTTCTGAAAAGCACAATAGACAAAAAACAACGTTGGCCCTGTAATATTATACTAACATATTCGTTAACCATTATAAGAATATACAGCAAGGTATTATTATCGCAAAGGTATTGAACCTAGGACATGTTACAATAGACATACATATTGAAGATAAAAGTGGACATCTTCGGCTGTCTCCTCACTTCTCTACATTTGACCTGACTTCTAGCTGTCCTTCCCTTTTCTCCTGTCATTCGCCACTAGATAGTAGTCCAGGATGAACGGAAAAGTTGTCTAGTCTCATTTCTAGTTTATGAATTTGTGGGATAATTGTGAATTGTTCCAGGCACGGTATTATGACTGTTACGACATATGTAACTGCCCTTTCAACGGAAATCATTTTTATTAGTCTTTTCTTAAACAAAGTTGCGTAACTCTTTATGATATGTGACATAGGCTTTTCATAACCTCAGTTAAAGTTGTTTATGAACCATGTGCTTCAAAACACTTATAATTTAATCTACATTGACTATATGCTTACCGTCCTTGCTCTGACCTGACTTCTGGTTTTAGCTTCTCTCTCTCTGTGCTGTCTGTCTGTCCTCTCTCTCTCTCTCTCTCTCTCTCTCTCTCCTCTCTCTTCCTCTCTCTCTCTCTCACTCACTCGCGACTTAATAATTGTCCAGGACGGACAGAAAGTTCCTCTAGTCTTCAGTTAGTGGGTTGTAATATATGCTTGTGTGTTGCCTTGCAGACCCACGTACCCTACCGTGACTCCAAGCTGACTCGCATCCTGCAGGAGAGCTTGGGCGGCAACGCTCGCACCACCATTGTTATCTGCGCGTCTCCTGCGTCATTCAACGAGGCTGAAACCAGATCCACCTTAGATTTTGGCAAGAGGTGAGACTGGAAAGTGTATCAGCTGAGGAAGTTTCATAGACATAGATAAGTTTTTCTCTGCTAACGTATAAGCTGGAGATGAATCTAGACGACGTTTCTGTCCGCCTATGATAATGTCGAGGACAGATCAAAATTTTGTCTAGTTTTGCCTCTAACTTGTAGGTTACTTATGAATTCTTCCATTCTGCGTTATGATTTTTATTCTTCATATGTATTTCTTGTCCGTCTTGATGATATTTCAAGCTCAGTTAATTCTTTATGAGATTTTTTTTTTAAGAGTAAAATTCGGTAGCGTTTCTGTCTCGTGACTGGAAAATGGAGGATCCAGCCTTCATTATCCCTTGTGCTGAATAATTCATACAGGTTTAACCGATTTACATAAAAGTGTGGAAGTTCAGCCTAATTCACAAATAACCGGCTGGAGCATCACTCAGGCTGCATATCAGCTGTATACCAACCTGACAATAATACTTTAATCTCAAATATAGGGGTTAAAGTGAACTCATAGTACATATTGAGAGAGATACAGGAGGCGACAGGCCCACTCTGCGCTATTCTAAGAAAAAAAAAAATACTTCCCCTCACTCCTTCAGCTGCAACCTTGCAACATTGCATAGCTCCTGATGACGCACTGAGAAGTGTGAAAGTACTTGAGCTAAAAAATTTCCACCCCCTGTGGCTTATCTTGCATATATATATATATATATATATATATAATATATATTTATATATAATATATAAATTTTATATATATATATATATATATATGAGCGGTCGTATTGTTATGAATTTATTAATAAATGATCTTATAAGTATATTTGTGAAGGACTTTGTGGGTTTGTTTCTTGTTTTTTTTTTTTTTGTAATTCAGTTCCCATGCAAGTCATTGTAATCAAACTGTCAGCTTTCTTGTATCCAGCAGCAAGTTTTAGGTCATACGACTGTATCATCTGGCGAGCCTGCCCCTGGGCCGGGTTCTAGCAGTAGAAAAACTGTGGAAACCCGTCAAGGGTATATAAAAGGCACGGTATTCCAATCTTTTTGATGAGGAGGGTTGCGCTGTGCGCTTTGAGGGAAGCATTTTTTTTTTTTTGTTACGCTATATTGTGTGACATGTCATTTTAAAGATTCCTTTTATACTGATTTCAAAAAACATATACTGCTTTCCAAATGTTATTTTAATTGAGTATCCCTCAGTTAAGATTGTATATTGATAGTTGCGCTGTGTTAAGTGTCTCACCATATACTCAGCAACACAATCTAGTTATTCTGCTAGTACGGAAAACTTCATAGAAATATTTCAATTATAAACTTAACTGCAAAACTCTGGTGCCATTTTTCTTAAATATTTTGGATATGGAATAAGACAGTTAACATGAATATCTAACACTATACAAACAAGAGTCCAGAGCTAAACTGGAGCACTGCTTTCAAATGCTCTTAAAACAAGAATAGTGTACTGGTGTGCGAATATATCTCTGTGCTTTTGCCGATAGTTTATTTTAAGCCTTAATTTGGGGAGTAAAGCATCCTTGACTGGCAGTGAACAGCTGATATGCAGACTTAATGCCCGTCGTGTAGCCGATAGGCTTTAAACCTAATGAGGTATCCTGTTGCTTGATTGGTAGTGCATTCAGCTCAAACAGTGAGTGTCCGTGGTTAGATTCCCGGTACAGGTGGAAACACTGGACGTGTTTCCTTACACCTGCAGTAAGTATGTACCTGGGTGACAGCCGACTGGTAAGTAAGTAAGTAAGTAAGTTTATTCAGGTATGCACAAATACAGTTACATAGAATTATCATACATAGCAGCATATGTGTAGAGAACCTAGGATAACCCAAAAAAGTCAGACAGAGTGACTTATTTCCATTGGGGTCCTTTTACCTTATTATTATAGTATAAAGGTTATAATATTTTCTTATTATTCTACAATGAAGATAACATCTTATTATCATACTAAAAAGACTATCTGCTACACCAAGGTCATTAAGACTATCTACAATACGAGGGTCATTACAAGGAATAAGGTAAAATTTACACGTATGTTAGCTAAAAAATAGAAAATCATTCCCCTCCCTTTCTGTAGCTACATTCATCAGACACCTTTTGGCACTCTTCTTGAACTGGTTCACGCTATGACTGGCTTTGACATGTGCAGGTAGTCTGTTCCATTCCTTTATTGCTGTACAATAAAAGGTGTTTGAAGCCTGGCCACTGACTGTGGGTACTACAAAGTTGTGCTCTCTCCCCCTAGTACTATGATTGCTTTGGTTCCCAACCTTGACAAAATTGACAGCAAGATATTCTGGACATTGTTTGTGTGGGTCGCATCCTGGGGACAAGATTAACATAAGTTACCCGAAATGCTCTGCATAGCCAGGGGCTTTCTATATAGTCTCTCACTGATGTCAGCTATGGTCTGTATAAGTTGCATCATGTACTTGTAGTAATAATGATTAATATTATTATTATCGATTTTGAGGAAATGTGGAAAGGCCTCACAGAAGCGCTTATACGGGCTGTGATCTTGTCCCTAAACAATATTATTAGAGTGTGAGGGTTTCTGATCCTCCTAACTAACTCAGCCTCTAAGGAAAATGTCGGGATTTTTGTTCTCTCTCTCCAGCAGTACCGTTGGAAACACGACTGTGACATTTAAAGGTAATTGTATTCACTCAAGCCATAATCATTGTCTCGCTTTCAGGTATTGTTGCATTTATTTGTTATTGTAGGATATGTTACGTTAAATTTAGTTAACACACCTAACCTAATCTAACCTAATCTAACCTAACCTAATCTAACCTAACCTAACCTAATCTAACCTAATCTAACCTAATCTAACCTAATCTAACCTAACCTAATCTAACCTAATCTGACCTAATCTAACCTAATCTAACCTAATCTAACGTAATCTAACCTAATCTAACCTAACCTAAAATAATCTAACCCAATCTAAGCTAACCTAAACTAAACTGAGTTTGTAGACAAACTGAATGAAAAGACCGTTGGTTTTGAGATGAGAGATTGTTGTTGAATAAGACACATTTGTAACACCTGGGAATCTTTATTCAGAGTTTGAGCATTTCATCTAGGTTGAGGGATCGATTCCCTCGTCTTCTACTGTCTCCAGTTTCAGCACTTTCAAGTAACCTTTTCATTGGCGAAACAATGGTTGGCGAAACACCTTCAGAATAAAGATACCAAGGTGTTTCACATCTGTCTTAATTGTTGGTATCGTTCACCGTTATCGGTACCAGGACGAGCCGTGCAGGAATATGGATGATTCGTCTATTTATTGCCTCTAGTTTATCAATTTGTTTACCTTTATTTTACCCATTTATCCATTCTCTATCCTTGTTTATCCGTTTATTCACGCGGTGACTAGTTTTCCACACGCTGAGGATAGTTTATCCATAAACTGAATCTGATTTATCCCGACATTACTCTCCGTCATCAATACACTGACTATACTCGTTCATACATAGTTGACTGAAGTTCATTCATTGATGTAGCTCATTCATACACTGCTCTTGTTTATACAGTGACCGCTAGAGTTTTTCATACATTGCTTGAGGTTCATTCATACATTGATTATTGTTTATTAATTCGCTATCTCTGTTTAATTCATACATTGACTGTCTATACACTGACTACTTAAATCATACACTGACCCTAGTTTATCTACATACTAAAAGTTTAATATCCCACTGGCGCTTGTATGTCCATATACTGACTCACGCTTATCCATCCACTAAAGCTTGTTTATCCATTAGCTGACTTCTTTGTAACCGTACACTGACACTTGTTTATCCATTCAATGAGACTTGTTTATCCATACACTCACGGGTCTAGTTAGGATTTAATGGGCTATTCTTTCATATGTTTGTGGTCATTCTTTCTCATGTTTCCTTCACGTAAAACATTGCTGTGTTTGTGCTCGCCTGAGGCACGTCTGTCGAGTGGCCTGAATCGCACGTTTTCTCCCTCAGAGCTAAGACGATCAAGAACTGTGTATGTGTCAACGAAGAATTAACAGCCGAGGAATGGAAACGACGTTACAACAAGGAAAAGGAGAAGGTGAGACTTAATGATTTGACCGAACATGTTTCCTGCACTAGAGTGAAGACTCTCCCAGAGTACGAAGGTGCTGTGTTACCCATCATCAGACATTTGTTTACTAGAGGGGAAAATAAAGGAACTGAGAGCAGGGAAAGCCTTTGTTGAGGACACTTGTACAGCATTTGGGTATCTTTCCTGGTAGAAGTTTCGCCGTCCAGTGGCTTTATCAACACAAGGACAAAATATGAAGAATGTAGAACTATATATAAAAGATGAGGTAATCAATCCCTAAGCCTTGGACTTGGTGCTCTTCTGTATAAAGTACTACATTCTTCACATTATGTCCTTGTATTGATAAAGTATGGCAAAGCTTTTACAAATAAAGATATCAAGACGTTGCACATGTGTCTTATTCGTCACCCTGTTGGTATTATATATCATTCATATACGAAACCTTTGTTATAGCGCTTCCTGGATCAGTATTAATTACCCTCTGTCCTTCACATTCACCAGCTGTTGCATGAACCACAATGCCTTAGAGCTTTAATATGAATATATTAACATTATTTTACAAATTAGTTAGGTCACCTGCACTATGAATAGCGTCGACTTTATGATGTCATTAACAAGTGAGACTTAAGTCAAGGGAAGGAGCCAGGCAGAAATGTTGAGGAGTTGTGCTCACTGTCATAATAAATGTGGAAAATTATTGTTAAATGGACCCGGCCGCAGAGGTACTAACCCCCGGAATATCCTCCAGGTATACTCCAGGTATGTTTGAAAGGAGGGCGTTTAAACTTCTGAGGCAGAATAGAATCCATGTGAGGCTCAGACTATATAATTATTTAAGTCATTTTGTTATCACTTGCCATTCCTTGGATTATCATTTCAATCACACTTGAGCATAAATACTGTACTGCCAAATGTTTAACAGTCACGACTGCTACCATCTGTTTCACAATCATACCTGACCAGTATTTTTCACAGTCACATCTGCCCTTGAATACTATCATGTGTCTGGCAGTGACTTCTGATCCTAAATATTACATCTATTTCACTATCACATCTGACCAAAAATATCATCATGTTTCACAGTCACAAATGGATATAGATAGTATCATATAGATAGTATCATATTTCTCATGGTCTCACATAACGGAAATTCGTACCATCATTGTCCCACTAATTCTTACATTGTAACAGGATTGTACTTTAATGTATAATCTCTGGTAAAAAGGGACTGAGTCTAGGTCATAACTGTAACGTATTTTCGTTTTGTTATAAACTGTTTTTTAATAACATATTTCTCTACTTGTCCTGTCTTAGAGCACCAAACTCAAAGCTCAAGTAGAGCGCATGGAAGCTGAGCTTGCTCGCTGGCGCAGCGGCGAGAAGGTCTCCTCTGAAGAACAGATTTCTGTTGACATGGAGAAGTCAATGGTTTCTTCCGTGGTAGAAGGTACGTTGCTAGATCACTTTAATAGACAGACTTATGCAGGGCACATAAAGCAAATGTGAGACTGTCGACCATAACTTTTATGTTACTTCATGTTAATTGTGTACGACTGTACGTGTCATGTAAGTTTTTCGTTGAATACTTAAGTCTTAAGTACTGAAAAATAAGTCAAGCACGCGAAAGGTATCCTAAATAAATGTCCTAAGATTTGCATTTTGTCTTTATTACTGCTTCTGCTTTAGTTATCTAGAGGTAGGATAATAGGTGCTCTTTTGTTCTAGGAGTTGGGTATCAAGTGTTCCTTCAATAATCTGGTAGTAAGGTATTAGGTAACTCAATAACCTAGAGGCAGTTTATCCACTGTTGCTTCTTCAGTGGTCTGAGCCAGGGTGTCAGACTACGGTACGGGTGGGGACTGAACTCGCGGCAAGTGAGTCGTAAAACTCTAGGCCAGAGCGTAAGGGACCTGTTGACCATACTCGGCGCGCGGATAGGAAAATAATTCGACAAATATGGAAAATGAGTTTTGTTTACAGAAAAATAGTTTAAGAATCTGGCAACATTTTGGTGAAAAATCCCATTGTAATACGTTTCTAAAACAAATTATAGCTATTTGCAACATATTATCTTACGACGTGCAACGTAAACAATATCGTGACCGAGCGAGATTATTTTTTTCTTCTTAATTTTTTGTGTATTTTTCTTTCTAATACACTAAATTTACCACTCATGGAATTACCCAGATAACTGCAATCAAGTCTCTGTCCCAGACTTCCGATTGGCCGACTTCATGGGACTGAGAAATTACCTGGGTGGGCTAAATTGGGATGACCTTACTATGGGTCAGGTAGGTGGTATTGGTTGCCAATATGACGTGTTTCAGAGCATAGTGCTAGCTGCCCAGACAACTTTTGTTCCGAGTAGGACAATTGGATCTAGCAGAAATGATCCCAAATAGATGAACAATAGATTAAAACGTCTCACTGGCCAAAAGAGGCACATATAGGCGTATCAAAAGAGGGGTAGGGCAGTTAAGAAATCAATATATTCAATTAAAGAGATAAATAATAAAAAGGAATAAGAAAAGCAAAAAGGGATTATGAGGCTAAAGTCGCAAGGGATTCCAAGACTAACCCAAAAGGGTTCTTTCACATATACAGAAGTAAGATTAGGGACAAGATTTGCCCACTTAATAGTAACTCAGGTCTGATCACTGACAATGATAAGGAAATGTGTGAACTTTTCAACACTTACTCCCTCTCAGTTTTTACTCAGGAAGATACTAGCGAAATTCCAAAAATAATAGATTATGTAGAACAGGACAATAATAAACTATGCACGATTGGAGTAACTAGTGACTTGGTCCTCAGACAAACAGAGAAATTAAACCCTAATAAATCCCCAGGTCCTGATGAACTGTTTGCTAGGGTTTTAAAGCAATGTAAAGAGGAACTTAGCATACCTTTGGCAAATCTTTTCAAAATATCACTACAAACTGGCATAGTGCCAGATAAGTGGAAAATGACAAATGTAATACCTATTTACAAGGCAGGTGACAGGTCCTTAGCTTCGAACTATACACCAATAAGCCTTACCTCCATAGTGGGAAAATTTATGGAATCAATAATTGCCAAGGCAATTCGAAGTCATCTTGAAAGGCATAAATTGATTAATGAATCTCAGCATGGTTTTACAAAGGGGCGTTCCTGTCTTACGAATTTACTAACTTTTTTCACTTAGGTATTTGAGGAGGTAGGTCATGGTAATGAATATGATAGTGTATATAGACTTCAGTAAGGCTTTCGATAGAGTTCCACATCAGAGGCTATTGGGAAACTTAAGGCACATGGAATAGGAGGAGAAATTTTTTCCTGGGTAGAGGCATGGTTGACAAATAAGCAGCAGAGAGTTTGCATAAATGGGGAGAAATCAAAATGGGGGCACGTCACAAGCGGTGTTCCACAGGGGTCAGTGTTGGGGCTCTTGTTGTTCACGATTTACATAAACGACATAGATGAGGGAATAATTAGCGACATAAGCAAACATGCTGATGACACCAAAATAGGCCGTCCAATTCATTCTAATAAGGACATTAGAGCACTCCAGGATGATTTGAATAGACTGATGCAGTGGTCGGAGAAGTGGCAGATGCAGTTTAATATAGACAAATGCAAAGTTCTAAATGTTGTACAGGAAAATAACCATGCCACATATAAACTAAATAATGTAGATCTTAATATTACTGATTGCGAAAAGGATTTAGGAGTTCTGGTTAGCAGTAATCCGAAACCAAGACCACAGTGCATAAGTGTTCGCAATAAGGCTAACAGAATCCTTGGCTTTATATCAAGAAGCATAAATAATAAGAGTCCTTAGGTTGTTCTTCAACTATATATATCTTTGGTTAGGCCTCATTTAGATTATGTTGCACAGTTCTGGTCACCGTATTACAGAATGGAAATGAATGCTCTGGAAAACGTACACAGGAGGATGACGACGTTGATCCCATGTATCAGAAATCTTCCCTGTGAGGATAGACCGAGGGCCCTGAATGTACACTCTCTAGAAAGGCGTACAATTAGGGGGAATATGACTGAGGTGTATAAATGGAAAACAAGAATCAATAAAGAGGATGAAAATAGCGTGCTAAAAATACTTAGCCTAGACAGGACTCGCAGCAATGGCTTCAAGTTGGAAAAATTCAGATTCAGGAAGGATATAGGAAAGCACTGGTTTGGTAATAGAGTTGTGGATGAGTGGAACAAACTCCCAAGGCTAAAACGTTGTGCAGTTTTAAAAATAGGTTAGATAAATACATGAGTGGGTGTGGGTGAGTGTGAGTTAGACCTGACTAGCTTGTTCCGGCGGGGTAGAAACATTTCAATTGATTTTTGCCTGTGTAGAGTCAAATTTGTGTTTTTAATGGAAGAAATTGGGATAAATGAAATACTGGTTTGCGTGTGATTATCTCTGATTGACCTCAACACTTCAGTGCTGATAACTTGATAATGCAACATCTGCGAGACTTCAGAATTAATGTCCTGGCGTATTTGATTATATTTGTCTCTCTCTGGGATAACAAGAGAATGCCTCTTCAGTTTGGTTTCAAAATTGATGTTTGTTACTGGAAGGTTTTGGACTTAGTCTTTAATTGCAATTTTTCTTGTAGAAATTGAGATACTAGCTTCCATATGATAATTTGTGAATGTCTCTCAGATCCACATCAAATATTCAGTGTTTATATTTAGCTATCTTGGAAAATTACGCATAATTGCACAATTCCTATTGCGTGCATTGAGGCACAGGGTGATGCAGCTATGCAGGAGGGAGATGTTGTTCTCGACTAAGACTTGTCTACTTTACAATGAAGAATTTGTTATCTTTTTCACACACATGAAAATGCTTTGCTGGTCATCATACTCTTTAAGTGATATATTGATATTCATCTCTTATTATTTTCAGTACTCGACACTTCTTGTCTCTCTGTATGAACGGCATATTAACTCATTCTCCCAAATTACCTTTCAGAGCCAAAGAAATCAACAGCTCCACCTATGAGCAACGAGGTGCGTGATGCGTGGGAGAAGGAGCGTGAGCAGCTCTACCTCAGTCTCGATGAGAAAGACGAGGAAATAAACCAGCACAGCCAGCTGGCAGAGAAGCTCAAGGAACAGATGCTCGAGCAGGAAGAAGTAAGATTTTGTTGGGAAAAAATTTGTCATTTAGGACCTAAAGTAGTGTATTAATAGTATGGTTTGTGAAAATTTTAGATAACCCCTTGCATTCTTATTGGTAATTTAATATCACTGCCCATTATTAGTAAACTTTAAATATTTTGAATTAAGGGGCCCTTTCTCTATTCCAGAAAATTTTTGAGTACTGTATACAGATACAACATATAGTTTTGTACACATGAATTTGAACGTAAATAATTGTTTATTATTTACGTTCAAATTCATGTGTATATTGTACTGACATAAAAACTTATTTAGGTATCACTTAAAAAACAGAGTGTAGCTAGTTATAACCCACGATTATAACTAGCTTCACAAATTTTTCAATGATTGAAAACAATCCATATTGATTTGATTCCGAGGTCAAACGGGTTTAAAAACAGTAATAAATTTAATTTGTCTGATATAGTAATATATTAATAGTTACAAAAATAATAAAAATCTATATTTTGTGACATTTAGCGTGAAGATTCAGATGTATTTTCATACTGTTGGCGTTGATGATGCTGTTATATTGTAACAATTAGCATATTGTAGCCACGCTTAATCTACAGTACTTACAAATATTTCAAGCTGCTATATTCAATAAGAAATTTCAAATAACGTAAAGGTGAAGAAATAAGAGAATGTATTTTTCAAATGCAAGGAACTCGTCTTGTTTTTATCCAGTCAAAAGAGAATAACAAGCTCCAGTATTTTTATTCAGTTCATATTTTTGACTGGTTATTGTCAGTATGGTTAATAATATTTGGAATATTACGACTCTTGTTACAAAAATAGTGAATATGATAAAGAAATCTGTGACTTTATAAATGTAATATTTTTTATTGTACGGTGGTACTGATTCTCAGTGTATTAAATATACAATAGTACTGATTTTCGGTGTGTATTATTCGGTAGTACTGATTCTCAGTACTACAGAATATTATACACACCCTGCGTATAATATACAGTAGTACTGATTCTCACTGTATAATATGCAGTAGTACTGATTCTTAAAGTATAAACAATGGCCGTCCAGTATAGCACCGTCATGAATTATTTTAGGTAATATTCAGAGAGAGGAACGCTTGCACAGTTACTGCAGTGGGAGCCTCGCGGCCTTATAAAATAGGAAATTCGTGACACTATTTAGTTTTATCATGCAATACCTACTGTTCTAGTAATGTATATATCGGTAATACAGTAAACAATATTTAGTCATAATTTAGTCACATTTTAGTTTTTTTCTGTAAAATCGTTAAGCTGGACATTGATTGCAATACCGAGAAATTTTCCGCTACTGGATTTGTCACATAGTATAACTATCAATGACTTCCCTGTTTACAGCTTATTGCTGCTACCCGACGTGATTATGAAGTTCTACAAACGGAGATGTCTAGGATTCAAGCTGAGAATGACTCCGCCAAGGATGAAGTGAAGGAAGTATTACAGGCTTTGGAGGAGTTAGCTCTTAATTACGACCAGAAGAGCCAGGAGGTGGAAAGCAAGTGCAAAGAGAACGAGACACTTAATGAAGAACTGACAGAAAAACAGGTGAGAACAGTTTCCAGTAATCTGTTTTATAAGACGCTGCTATAAATAAAAATATAAGTACTCCTAATGGTTATAATCATAACCATGATTTTTCATGGTTATGATTATAACCATTAAGAGTAAAATTATTCGAAAGATTACTCGAAAGATTATTCCATACATCAACATCTCTGAAAACCAGTACTTCCTACGTCCCTTCTAAATCAGATAACCAAAAGCTCCTGCTGTGGGTTATCATATAACTAAGACCCGCGTCAGGAAAGAGGACAAGTGTTTCCTGACGCCGGTCTTAGTCATATGATGATCCACAGCAGTGAAAAAAAGCACCATATTACCCTAGCCCATCAAAGAATTAGAAGATATTTTATATAATGATATAATGATTGAGTCATATGATGACCCGCTCCCTGGAGCTCTGCGGGGAACCTGACAGAGGTCTCCCGCAAGCTTATTTATCCGGTAAGGAATCAAAAATCACATCACAGAGTAAGATGGCAGATTTTCCACCCACTTTATAAAAATGACATCAGCAGAGTACCAGGATATACACTGATCGCTGTTGCTGTTGTTAAACTGCTCCTGGCACTACTGCTGTTATGTACTTAATCTGCACCTCTGACTACTTTTGCTGTAGTTAAACTGCTCTTCTGCTGTATTGTAGATAAACTGCTCCCTTGCTGTCTTGTAGATAAACTGCTCCTCTGCTGTGTTGTAGATAAACTGCTTCTCTGATTGTAGCTACACTTCTGTACTAACTGTTAGTTCTGTAGTAAAAATTACAACACTAGCAGTTAGTGCTGACTGCTGGTCTACAATCCAAATTATATTATACTCCATATTCTAGCTTTCTTTAGTTGTATTCTTCGTATCTTTCTATCACACCAGTGATTCTTAACTCATGTTACTTGATACCCATGAAGGTGGTGATATTATATTTATATTTCTTTTCAAATAATTCTCTATATTTCCTCGTCTTTGAACTCTGAGCTACAAATACGCAGAATTCTCAAGAGCACGGAAAAGAACACAGAATATTAGTTAATTTTTATATACTTGGATTTTAAATTACACACTGACATTATTAAAAGCTTTAATAATTAAAGCTTTTAATAATGTCAGTGTGTAATTCTGTTCAGACTACACAGTAAATTTTATGGATAGGGATAGACGTTTTAACTCAGAAAGTTTTTTAAATATATATTCTCGAGCTTTAACCATAGGACATAATCCACATATCTGCACCCTTTAGCCTTATCAGATAGAATTCTGTGTGGCAATGTGGTTTAAAAAATTCCATGTACAAATTACCAAGGACACGTGAAAAAAGATTTCCCATTGTCATGTCAAATTTTTGAGTGTAAATTCACTATTAAACCCAAACTTTATATCACTGCATAGTTAAGTAAGTTCAATGATTGTAAACACAGGCAGTGGAAAATTATATTTGCATAAGTCTTCACATAAAACATTTAATAAGTAATCACCATGGACTCTGGTAAAATAATGAGTTACCATAAAATAATGCAGTTCTGCAATCATTTAAGTCAGTTATGATACTTTATATATCCACAATCAATATTATTTTTAACACTGCTGCAGCTCTAAATATTGCCTTATTTAATGCAATACTCTTCTGTTTAATATAATGCTCTTCTATTTAATGTAATGCTCTTGTGTTTCTTCTATATGTATCTTTGATCCAGCAGATTAGGACAACGCTGAGCTGCTTCCAGTTACATAAGTTATGCATAATAACGTACGTCAGGAAACACTTCTGTTTAGACGTATAAGATACTACCTGTCTCCTTACCATATCCAAGAATTTAATATTAAGCAACTGTTAAAGTGATACTTATTACGAAAGACTCTTAAAGTTTTCTACCCAGAAACAAATACCTGACAATTTGCCACTAGTACATTGCAGTATAATTAATAATAATAGCTTCGATAAACCTCTTAACTGAATAATTACACTGTAATAGCAAAATTAGGTGAAGGCGTTGCTTCTCGCTCCATAGTTATTCTTGACTTCTGATTTGCTTGATGTGAAAAGCTTCCTAGTCATTTAAATGTCAAGGGCTGTAAATATCTTTGTTACTATGGTACCCACACAACTTCGCTACACTAGCTCCGATGTATATATTGTATTCATATCAACTTTTTAAAAAGTAAAATCTGAAGATATCAAAAGCAAAACATAAGTATTTAAATAAATTTTGTCTTCTTTACTGTTAAGAAAAATAACGTAAGGAAACTTATTACGTATTCCCTTTCATAATTATATGGAACACTTGAAAAATGATTAAACATCGAATCCAACGGAAAAGAATTCATGTTTCACACTTGTAATAAATGTATTCAGAGTTTTTTTGTTTGAACATCAATTGCAAGGGGTATCTTAATTCAGATGAAGGGCTCTTGATCCATGGAACTGGAAACAGCCTACAATGATTATCTCTGATTTCTCAGTATGGTTTTGGCACTGCTACAAGATAGATTATGGTGATGATGATTATAATAATAATAATAATAATTTAGTTACTGTATAAGCTACAGATCAGCAAAAATATTAGCTGTTATTGCACTCTTCAGTTATATTCTTTTCAGACTGCTTTAACAACGATGCAAGGAGAGCTGCAGCAGATGAAGGACTCCTCTGTACACCAGCGGAGACGGATGAACGAGATGTTGTTTTCTCTTCTATCCGATCTCGGTGAAGTTGGCACTGTGGTTGGTGGCACTGCAGGAGACCTGTCCATCAAGGTAACATTGTTGGAGATGCGAGATTGTGGAGGTGTTTGGTGGTGAGAGGTGTATAGTGTTGCAGGTGTATGGTTGGTGGCAGTACTCAAGACTTGTCTAAGTAAGGATATCGTCACCTGGTTGGTGGTACTGCGACAGACTTATTTGCAAAGGTAATAATGTCTACAAGAACGGCAGTTAGATTTACAGTATCGCCAGGAACGCTTCCTTGTTGATGAAAAAGAGGAAAATTTGAGGATATCTTCAAGTCACAGTCTTAGTGCCTCTGAGATGAGTTTCTTACCTAGTAATTAAGTGATTTTTTTTTTTTTTTTAAATCTCAGCGTCTCTGATCTCTGCTCTTGTTTTGCACGAATAAATTCATTGAATTTGATTATATGATTAATTAATGTAATATTTTTTCTCTTGTACTCATTCATTCCCATTGATTTTTAAATTTTAAAATTTATATTTTTTAAATAAAAAAAAATCACGTTTATTCGGAAAGAAAATGGTGAATAAAAAATATTTTTTAATTAAAATTTGGAAATTTTTATCTATTAACTCCATGTGACTAATATATATAGTCTTAATAATTTGTTATGAATATAATATTAATCTTACAAATAATTTTATATCTAATAATTTCATATCTAGCTACCGATAACTAGTTTAATGTAGTTTTACTTAGCCACGAGGGACCCGTTAGGGAAAAAAATTGCTTAAATATAGTTTAATTTCATGTATAACATATATAAAACTGGTGAGAGGACTAGCTTTCTCTCAGAAAGCTAGTCCTCTTTCAGCTCTGCCGAGCTGAAAAAGGGAAGGGAAGTGAAGGCAGGGTAAACAAGGAATGCAGATCATGTTGATAAATTAGACACACGTGCAAAACTTGGGTATCTTTAATGAGGAAACGTTTTGCCACACAGTGGCTTCGTCAGTCCTATACAAAGAAGAATGGTGAAGATCAGGAGGAGTTTGAGGTAATCAGTCCCTCAGCCTGGAGTCGATAATCAATCCATCAATCTTGAAAAGAGGGAAGGATAAACAAGAAAAAAGGACTCACTTTTGTTTATATATATAATTCTGTATAACAATTAACTGAGACTACACTATTAGACTGGGGATATATTGCCATGATTCCCCTGATCAAGGTATTTTTTATTTCAGAACTCGGGAGACCCTAATAAACTAGAGGAAGAGTTCACAATGGCGCGGCTGTATGTGTCCAAGATGAAAAGTGAAGTGCGTAATCTTGTCCAACGTTGTAGTACTCTTGAAAACTTCCAGGTGAGAAAAATACTTTAGTGTCATTTATTAAGAGGGCACCAGTAGTTACACACACACACACACACACACACACACACACACACACACACACACACACACACACACACACACACACACACACACACACACAGGAGAGCACACATGGGGGGAGCAAAGTTACTAGTTATGGGTGATTTCAATCACAAGGAGATTGACTGGGAAAATCTGGAGCCCCATGGGGGTCCCGAAACATGGAGAGCCAAGATGATGGATGTGGTACTGGAAAACCTCATGCATCAACATGTTAGAGACACTACCAGAGAGAGAGGAGAGGATGAACCAGCTAGACTGGACCTTGTATTCACCTTGAGTTGTTCGGACATCGAGGAAATCATGTATGAAAGGCCCCTGGGAGCTAGTGATCATGTGGTTCTGTGCTTCGACTACATAGTTGAGCTCCAAGTGGAGAGAGTAGCAGGAATAGGGTGGGAAAAACCAAACTACAAAAGGGGGAACTACCCAGGCATGAGGAACATCCTTCAAGACATTCAGTGGGAGAGGGAACTGACAGGAAAACCAGTACAAGAAATGATGGACTATGTGGCAACAAAATGCAAGGAGGCAGAGGAGAGGTTTGTTCCCAAGGGAAACAGTAATAATGGGAAGAACAGAACGAGTCCTTGGTTCACCCAAAGGTGTAGGGAGGCAAAAACTAGGTGTACTAGAGAATGGAAAAGGTACAGAAGACAGAACTCAGGAAAATAAAGAGATTAGCCGAAGAGCCAGAAACGAATATGCACAGATAAGAAGGGAGGCTCAGCGACAATATGAAAATGACATAGCATCAAAAATCAAGACTGACCCGAAGCTGTTGTACAGCCACATCAGGAGGAAAACAACAGTCAAGGACCAGGTAATCAGACTGATGAAGGGTGATGGGGAATTCACAAGAAACGACCGGGAGGTATGTCAGGAGCTCAACACGAGATTTAAAGAAGTATTTACAGTGGAACCCAGTAGGACTCCAGGAAATCAGAACAGGGGGGGGCACCAGCAAGTGCTGGATGAAATACATATAACCAAGGAGGAGGTGAAGAAGCTGCTGTGCGAACTTGACACCTCAAAGGCGGTGGGACCAGACAACATCTCTCCGTGGGTCCTTAAAGAGGGAGCAGAGATATTGTGTGTACCATTAACAAAGATCTTCAACACATCATTTGAAACTGGGCAACTCTCCGAGGTATGGAAGATGGCAAATGTAGTCCCAATTTTTTAAACAGGGAGGCAGACATGAGGCACTAAACTACAGACCTGTATCACTAACATGTATAGTATGCAAGGTCATGGAGAAGATCATCAGGAGGAGAGTGGTGGAGCACCAGGAAAGAAACAAGTGTATAATTGACAACCAGCACGGTTTCAGGGAAGGAAAATCCTGTGTCACAAACCTACTAGAGTTTTATGACAAGGTGACAGAAGTAAGACAAGAGAGAGAGGGGTGGATCGACTGCATTTTTTTTGGACTGCAAGAAGGCCTTCGACACAGTTCCTCACAAGAGGTTACTGCAAAAGCTAGAGGATCAGGCACACATAACAGGAAAGGCACTGCAATGGATCAGAGAATACCTGACAGGGAGGCAACAACGAGTCATGGTACGTGACAAGGTGTCATAGTGGGCGCCTGTGACAAGCGGGGTTCCACAGGGGTCAGTCCTAGGACCTGTGCTGTTCTTGGTATATGTGAACGACATAACTCAATTCAATTCAATTCAAAGTTTATTCTCTATAAAGATTACAATGTTGAATTTACAGAATTTGGTTGTGTGGTTTACATGTAGTTAAATAATGATTACAGAGTGTACAACTAGAACACCTAGCATGGCTAGGCATTTCGGGCAGACTTAGTTTAATTCTTTATTTTAAAATATTACAAATTATGAGGTAAGTTGGTATTATGGCTAAGTGACTAAATACTAGTTTGTGAGTTTAGCAATGTGAATACTTTTGTTTTGGCACAGTACATAGTTTCAGTATTGGAGTATCATAGGATTCATTATTTTAAGATTGAGATTAATATTTCTGTTTATGGTCAAATGGGTGAGTGAGTGTAAGTGTGAACCACCAGGTGGTATTCGTGTAGTTAGTTGATGGGGTGTATCAGGGAGATGAGATGTTTTCTAATGGTAGTTTTGAAGGTGATGAATGTGTCTGCAGTTCTAGAGTTCTCAGGTAGGGTGTTCCAGATTTTAGGGCCTTTGACATACATTGAATTTTTGTAAAGGTTTAGTCGGACACGGGGAATATCGTAGAGGTGTTTGTGTCTGGTGTTATGCCTGTGGGTTCTGTCACAACTATCAAGAAAGCGTTTTAGGTCAAGGTTGGTATTGGAGTTTAAGGTCCTGTAGATGTAGATTGCACAGTAGTAAGTGTGGATGTACTGAACAGGGAGTAAGTTTAGATCTATGAAGAGTGGGAGGGTGTGTTGCCAGGGATGGGATTTAGTGATTATTCTTACTGCAGCTTTTTGTTGGGTCATTATTGGCTTTAGGTGTGTTGCTGCAGTTGATCCCCAAGCACAAATAGCATAGGTGAGGTATGGATAAATAAGTGAGTGGTATAGTGTGAGAAGGGCATTTTGCGGCACATAGTATCGTATATTGGAGAGGATCCCAACCGTTTTGGATACTTTTTTGGTTATGTGTTGGATATGGGTGCTGAAATTCAGGTTGTTGTCAAGGTATAGGCCTAGGAATTTGCCCTCATTATGTCTGGTAATTAGAGTGTTGTCGATCTTAATGTTAATTTGTGCATCTCCTGCTCTGCTACCAAACATAATATAGTAGGTTTTGTCAGTGTTAAGCGTAAGTTTATTGGCTGTCATCCAAGTCGATATTTTGATCTGCTCCTCGTTAACAATGGTGTTGAGGGTGGCAAGATTAGGGTGACAGATGACATAAGTCGTGTCGTCAGCAAAGAGAATGGGTTTCAGGTGTTGGGATACGTTTGGAAGATCATTGATGTATATGAGGAAGACCAGGGGACCAAGGACACTTCCCTGCGGAACTCCAGTATCAAGTGGTCGTGTTGTTGATGCTGTGTCTTTAATGGTGACATACTGATACCTATTAGTAAGGTAAGATTTGAAATAAGCAAGCGCATGGCCTCTTATACGGAAGGGATAGACTCAGAAGTGTCCTTGTTTGCAGATGATGTGAAGTTAATGAGAAGAATCAAATCGGATGAGGATCAGGCAAGACTACAAAGAGACCTGGACAGGCTACAAGCCTGGTCCAGTAACTGGCTTCTTGAGTTTAACCCTGCCAAATGCAAAGTCATGAAGATTGGGGAAGGGCAAAGAAGACCGCAGACACAATATAGTTTAGATGGCCAAAGACTGCAAACTTCACTCAAGGAAAAAGATCTCGGGGTGAGTATAACACCAAGCATATCTCCTGAGGCGCACATCAATAAGATAACTGCTGCAGCATAGGGCGCCTGGCAAACCTTTCGGATAGCTTTTCCGATACCTCAGCAAGGATTCGTTCAAGACTCTGTATACCATTTACGTCGGGCCCATACGGGAGTATGCAGCCCAGTTTGGAATCCCCCACCTAGTCAAGCACGTCAAGAAATTAGAGAAGGTGCAAAGGTTTGCAACAAGACTAGTCCCAGAGCTACGGGGATTGTCCTACAAAGAAAGGTTGAGGGAAATCGGCCTGACGAACTGGAGGACAGGAGGGTCAGGGGAGACATGATAACGACATATAAAATCCTGGTGGAATAGATAAGGTAGACAAAGACGGGATGTTCCAGAGATGGGACACAGACACAAGAGGTCACAATTGGAAGTTGAAGACTCAGATGAATCAAAGGGATGTTAGAAAGTATTTCTTCAGTCATAGAGTGGTCAGGCCGTGGAATGGCCTAGAAAGTGAAGTAGTGGAGGCGGGAACCATACATAGTTTTAAGGCGAGGTATGATAAAGCTCATGGGGCAGGAAGAGAGAGGACCTAGTAGCAATCAGTGAAGAGGCGGGGCCAGGAGCGATGAATCGACCCCTGCAACCACAAATAGGTGAGTACAAATAGGTGAGTACACACACACACACACATATATACAACAGGCCTAGTGTCTAACCGACATGTGCCTAGGACAAAATGGTAACTAATTAACTAACAAACACATATTCAAAGATTGTAATTTAGATGTTTAGTAGGCAAATGATACACATTTTTTTTTTCATTTCATTGGTAAACGGTCATCATAGCTGAAGCTTGAGGGTTTATACGCGACTGCCCCATGAAAGGGAATTTTTGTGTTGTATATCCTTCATTGTGACTGGGCAAGCTTGAAGCTGTTGTATATTATTCTTGTAATGTTAGATGCCAAGAAACGGTTGGGGTTGCTTTTATCACAGTTGATCAGAATCTTCAACGTCTCACTTTCCAGTAGACTGATGAGAATTATCCATGTTTATTCTTCAAAAATTTATTATTGCATGCTAGATGCAGCTGTACGTAAAATTTTGTGTATGTAGAAGATGCATAATGAATAATGGTTGCTAAATATCTAAACTCAATACATGCTGGCTATTGCTCAACAGGGAGACTGCAACAAAAAGATAGACGAATATGAACGTGAGTTAAGTGATTGCAGACTTCTAATTAGCCAACACGAGGCTCGAATGAAGACGTTGCAGGAATCAATGCACGAGGTTGAGGTCCGCAAGAGACAGCTTGAGGAGCAAGTAAGTGCAACGAAAGAACTAAATGAAAATAAAGTAGTTACACTAGATGTTCAATTTAATATTTATTTATGTTCGATATACAACTAACTTAGATTGGAAATTACACGAAGCCTAGTTTTCATATCCAGTCTTTGATGTTAGATTTAAATTGTTTCAGTTTCGGTATTATTTGTTTTTAAATGTATATGACTTAGTAATGTTATATTTTATTTGGAAATAACGAGTATAGTGAAGTCATTGTGTAATTGGCTTATATTTAACGAAATGAGCAGCGAATCAGCAAATCCATGTATCCTTTTAATAAAGTTTCTAGAAAGGCACAGAACACAAAAATGTATTACTCAAAAATAAATTACGCGAAATTGCATTTTAGATTTACGTTCACGTACGTGTAGTAATATCATTTATGTTAAGAGAGGTTAAGAGAAAGGAAGAAATGGTTAATGGGGTTTAAAGACTATCGACTGCACAGGGGTCATTAAGGCGGCACATAAACTTTACGCCAGCAGACAAGAATAGTTTAATCTGTACAACAGATATTAAAATAGTCTCAGCATATTTACATTGAGGGAAATGCACCTTTCTATGTAAATATCTTGTGGAAGTAGTGAACCTTTTCTCACAAGAAATCTGTACTGATCTTGTATAATTTTTCTGGCCAAACAGAAATTTTTTGAGAACATACTATGTATTATTTATTTATATACGAAGGTCAAAGGTTAATATTTTTTTGTGAAAAAGTACAAAAGATTGATATTACAGATATTCTAACATTAGTATATTGTGTCCGTATCAGCAGAGATAATCATGATTAAATTTTAACAGGTTGACTCTCTTAGTGAAGAAGTGGCTCAGTTGAAGGCTGCCGAGGGCTTGACCGTGTCAGAGGGACTTTCAAAGGAGGCACTTGAAAAACAAATGGAAACTCACAGAGAACTTCACCAGAAGCAGGTGACACAACTCAGACTGGAGATAAGTGCCAAGCAAGCACTGGTGGAAGACCTCAAAGAGTAGTTTACGTTTAAAGTATATTAGTATTACTGTGCTATTAGTGTTTCAGCAATATTTTATTTAGCATTAACATTTATAATGACAAATTTTAAAATGGTTATGTGTGGGTGTTGGTAAAAAAATTTTTTGACAAGATAAGAAACCTAATATGTTGTTCCACTGAACAAATCTGAATGAAATCGTAACGACACGATTGCAAACAAACCATAATACGGATGGGGTTAGAACCCGCGATCAGAGTCACAAAACTCCAAACTGATTCATTAGCCACTGGGCCAGCTAGCTACAATAAGATTCGCCCAACTAGGTGTATTTCTACACCATAGGAAGGTTAGCATAGGTACCACTGTGACCACAAACGCAAGTTTTTACAGACGAATCTCCCGCTAGCGTGGCCGTAACGAACTCTAGCTTAAGTCCCCTCAAAGCCTATGCAAACCTTCCTATGGTGTAGAAATACACCTATTTGGACGAATCTTATTGTAGCTAGCTGGCCCAGTGGCTAACGCGTTGATCTGGAGTTTTGTGACTGATCGCTGGTTCCAACCCCGCCCGTGGTATGGTTTACAGTAATCTAGCTAGCTAAGATAGTTATTCTCTAGTTACTGCTGGCCACCTAAAACCAGAGCATCCTCTGTTGATGCTCATGACCAGTTCATAATTGTTTGGGTGTCTTAAGAGGTTTACTCTACTTGCTGCTGACGACCGCGTAATGCTGGTCAGATTATCCCAGAGAGGAGTACACTATAGTTGATGATGACGATTGAATCATGCTAGTGTAGTTATCTAGGAGAAGCCTGTCCTGTCTTCTAGTTGCTGCTGTCGATCTCCGAAAAGTCTAATTTTTTCCTCTCCGAATTTAGAAATTGTTGTGAACTGTTCGAGCAACGGCATTATGCTTCATTATTACTCTAGATGTTATGTAGATATTGTGGAAAATTGCATTTAACTGAATGCATCATTATGTACATAACAGTAAATGAACATAGATAATTATTATTTATCAGTTAGACAAGTAGGAATTTGGGACACCTAGGTCGCAAAAAATGTCCCCCTTCGATACCTACCACTGTCATATCCACAAGTTGCTCTGGACCTATTAATTATAAATAAAAGACACATCACCAGGAATTCTGGTAAATATATAATATTTGTGGACTGTATATTAAAAGTAAAAATGATTATATATATATACATATATATATATTATATATATATATATATATATATATATATATATATATATATATATATGCAAAACAACCACTCTGAAAGAATAGAGAAATTCCAAGCGCTTTCGTGACTACTCACATTATCAAGGAACTATGAAAGTGAAGCATCCAAGGAAGCTATATAAGGGGTCGGCCAGCACCTCACTATCAGATCCCACAACGGTTAAACACGTGACGCGCGGCGAGCCAACTTGGACAGGTCCTTTGCAAACTCACCCCCAAGCTATTTATTTGTCCAGTGTATTATTAAATTCTACCCAAATTCTATTAATTATGAATGGATCTAATTTATATAAACCAAAGGAAATATTCATATTATTGTCAAAACTGCTTTTTATGAAACAAGATTCAATTATATTCCTGTCGACCATGGACTTGCTGATACTACTTTCTCAACTTTTTGAAAATCAATTGGATGGTTAAAATCTCTTACATGAATAAATAGAACTTGGAATCTTGTCCAGTTCTAATGCTATATTTATGTTGTTTTAATCTTAGTTCGAGATTTTTACCAGTTTGACCGTAATAAACTTTATCGCAAATTTTACAAGGAATCTTATAGACACATCCATCAGCATTTTGGGGGGAATTCTTAATCAAAGTTTTTTTACTGTATCAAGATTTTTGAATACAACTTTAATATTAAAAGTCTTAAGAGAGAAGGCATATCAACCAAGTTTTCATGGTAAGGGAGAACCAACATATTTTTAGTTGAATAAGGCTGGTTGCCCTTTTTTGGATTATAAAAAGTGTTCCTAGCAACTTTAAAAGATTTATCAATTACATTTCTTGGGTATTTTAAATCATTACCTATTTCATAAATTTTGGATATTTCCTCATCTATGAACTCAGGACTACAAATTCGTAAAGCTCTCAAAAACATTGATGAAAAAACAGACAGTTTGACTCTATCTTGATGCGAGGAATAATAGTGGACATAGGAACAGTTATTTGTAGGTTTTCTGTAAATTTTAAATTTGAATTCATTATTACCCTTAATAATTAAAACATCTAGAAAAGGCAATGAGTTATTTTCTTCAAACTCAACAGTAAAGTTTATAGAATGGGCTAACCTATTTAATTTTCCAAGAAAATGGTGTATATCTACATTTTTGGGCATAAGACACAAAATATCATCAACATATCTGAACCATTTAGCTCTATTAGGGAGGATTGTGTTAAGCAACCTTGTTTCAAAATATTCCATGTATAGGTTACTAAGAACAGGTGAAAGAGGATTTCCCATTGCCATACCAAACTTCTGAGTGTAAAACTTGTCATTAAATACAAATTTTGCATCAACAATGCAAAGTTTAATAAGTTTAATGATAGTAGGAACTGGCAATGGTAAATCATAGTTAACGAGTTCTTCAGATAAGAAACTTAATAAATCATCAACAGGAACTTTCGTAAACAAGGAAGTAACATCAAAACTAACCATGTTAAAATCATTTAAGTCAGTCAAGGAGTTTAATTTATCAACCAAGTCTATTTGTTTTTTAACATTAAAGTTAGAAATTTTGCCAACAATAGGGCTCAAAATATCGACAAGCCATTTGGATAATTTATATGAAAACTGACCCTATGGAGCTAATAATTGGTCTGATGGATTCCTGGTTTGTGTGTTTTTATTAGTCCATACATGTAAGGTAAAGATGGATTAGTGGAAGTAAATTGTTTGACTAATTCATCTTTGCCTTTCAGTAGAAGTTTTATTGTTTTATTGAAATTGCTGTTAACGGTTTCTAGGGATTTTTCCTAAGTTTAGAATAGGTTTCAGTATCATCTAAGAGATTATTCATTTTTTCTTGGTAATCATTTTCTTTCATAATTACTATTGCATTTATTTTGTCTGCTTTAGTAAGGCGCAAATTTTTATTGTTATTAAGTGTATCATAAGACTTAAAGAATCTTTGAGGGCAATTGGGAATGTTTGGTTTTAACATAGAGCTGTATACCATTCCTTTACTAATATTATTTCATCAGAGGATAAATCAGGAAATTTTTCAAAGTTACAAAAGGCTTTTGCAATTTCAACATTATTAAGTTTTTTTGAAGTTGCAAAACTTAGGCCAAAACCTAGAGCAGCAGTTGTATGTTTGTCTAAAATTTCATCTGATAAGTTAATTACAAAATTGTTATTAGCATGCTTTGTCCAATCACTATTTTCAATTAAAATGTCTAATTTTCTTTGTAGTTTGCTCTTGATTCCTTGTAAAATTTGCGATAAAGTTTATTACGGTCAAACTGGTAAAAATCTCGAACTAAGATTAAAACAACATAAATATAGCATTAGAACTGGACAAGATTCCAATGCTCTATTTATTCATGTAAGAGATTTTAACCATCCAATTGATTTTCAAAAAGTTGAGAAAGTAGTATCAAGCAAGTCCATGGTCGACAGGAATATAATTGAATCTTGTTTCATAAAAAGCAGTTTTGACAATAATATGAATATTTCCTTTGGTTTATATAAATTAGATCCATTCATAATTAATAGAATTTGGGTAGAATTTAATAATACACTGGACAAATAAATAGCTTGGGTGGTGAGTTTTGCAAAGGACCTGTCCAAGTTTGCTCGCCGCGCGTCACGTGTTTAACCTTGTGGGATCTGATAGTGAGGTGCTGGCCGACCCCTTATATAGCTTCCTTGGATGCTTCACTTTCATAGTTCCTTGATAATGTGAGTAGTCACGAAAGCGCTTGGAATTTCTCTATTCTTTCAGAGTGGTTGTTTTGGCATATTTTGAAATCACCTGTTTACTGTGATCTTATTGCATATATATTATATATATATATATATATATATATATATATATATATATATATATATATTATATATTATTCTAGGTAGTAGGTTGGTAGACAGCAACCGCCCAGGGAGGTACTACCGTCCTGCCAAGTGAGTGTAAAACGTAAGCCTGTAATTGTTTTACACGATGGTAGGATTGCTGGTGTTTTTTTTCTGTCTCATAAACATGCAAGGTTTCAGGTACGTCTTGCTACTTCTGCTTACACTTAGGTCACACTACACATACATGTACAAGCATATGTATACACACCCCTCTGGGTTTTCTTCTATTTTCTTACTAGCTCTTGTTCTTGTTTATTTCCTCTTATCTCCATGGGGAAGTGGAACAGAATTCTTCCTCCGTAAGCTATGCGTGTTGTAAGAGGCGACTAAAATGCCAGGAGCAAGGGGCTAGTAACCCCTTCTCCTGTATATATTACTAAATGTGAAAGGAGAAACTTTTGTTTTTCCTTTTGGGCCACCCCGCCTCGGTGGGATACGGCCGGTGTGTTGAAAGAAAGAAAGAAAGAAAGAATATATTTTTTTTTTTTTTTTTTTTTTTTCAACAAACCGGCCGTATCCCACCAAGGCAGGGTGGCCCAAAAAGAAAAACGAAAGTTTCTCTTTTTAAATTTAGTAATTTATACGGGAGAAGGGGTTACTAGCCCCTTGCTCCTGGCATTTTAGTCGCCTCTTACAACACGCATGGCTTACGGAGGAAGAATTCTGTTCCACTTCCCCATGGAGATAAGAGGAAATAAACAACAACAAGAACTAGAAAGAAAATAGAAGAAAACCCAGAGGGATGTGTATATATACATACATATATATGCTTGTACATGTATGTGTAGTGTGACCTAAGTTTAAGTAGAAGTAGCAAGACATACCTGAAATCTTGCATGTTTATGAGACAGAAAAAAAGGACACCAGCAATCCTACCATCATGTAAAACAATTACAGGCTTTCGTTTTAC